TCTAAGCTGGCTTTGCGAATGCGCTAAACTGCGCGAGCGCAGTATAACGGCGGCATGTGAGAGGGGAACTAGAACAGCAACGTTATTACGTTATCTCTAAGGGCATCACAGGATAAGACCATAGGACTATCTTCACTCATAAAATAACCCCGCTCTAGTGAGTTCGGAGAACGATAGTCAGTTGGATCAGATGCAGATGGTGGTAAAGTCTCATATTCTACCAAGCGCTGTGCCGTGCTCACGTGTGGCCCCGTTTGTCACTACGCACACTCTGCTCGTAGAGTGCTCTACAGTCCGGCGTTAAACGAAGCCGGCCTCTAAAGATCCCAGATGCGCAAACCTGACAAGCGCATGCGACTGCGTAGGCACTGTAGATTAAATACCTCACCGCGTAGAACGTCGACAAGTCAGCGTACATCATTTTCAACTTGCGCAGCTATGCGCGTCGTCGAGCGCAGATAGGCCAACTATCTCAGAGCACATAGTGTTCATATCATCTGGACACAGATCCAACTCTTATCGTGGCTAACGGAGCCCACAATACATCAAGAGATAATAGAGCTGAACTATATAGCGCAATTGAACACCACATTTAGGTGTAGTAGTTGGATCATCCCAGCGCGAGATTGCCTATCATAAGAGATTCGGCGTCACTGTGTCAGTGATTATCATATTATAAGACACTACTACCCACGTTCAAAGATGCTCGCGCGGGAATCTCGCATGTACAATCTCTACGACCAATATGGTATTGAGCGCTGGTGTATCTTATCGTCGTGAGCCACCATCGCGGCCGTCCAATTAGCGTCTCGAGGCGCGAGCAGGGCGAGCATATACGCAGTTCTTCGACCTCTCCGGCTTTAATCCATTACTGAGCTTGTCGGACAGATGACTTGCATACATAGCGATGCCGCCAGTATGAGAGTGAGCATTGTATTCCTTCGCGTTGTAGAAATAGGCACAAATGGGACCTGTGTACATGCAGAGTGCTACAACGCATCTCCCGCCAAGAGAGGCGTCCACAACCTTCTGATTACGGCGTGGCGACGAGGAGGCGAGTGGTGGCGGCTACGCGGTGTAGCCTTCACAGAACCCTACGGTATTAAGTCCAAACTAATATTCCAAGGCGTTTGCGCGTATAAACGGCGAGAAGGGATACACGAAGACACGCGATTCCAGCAATTATTCATTAGAGGGCTCTCCGCTTCCCGATTATTCGACACATACAACCACCACCACGAGCCTCGAATGCCATGAGAAACGTTCTTTTGAGAAATGCCGTTTAGTCACCACTCACAACAGCGAGATTCCATAGCAGACGTGGAGACCTACACAGTTCATCGAAGTTAGCGTATGGGCGAATAGAACATCAACTGATCGTCACACATCATTTACAACTACCTTCCTGCTTGCGTTTGGGCGAGGAGCACTGCTCTGCTACAGATCCTGTGTGGTTCTATAGAAATCACATGGCGAATAAGTCTAGAACGTCCTAGGCCTACAACTCTACAAGGCCGCGCGTGTGCCGCGCACTGCCATCTCGTACGTGTGGATCGATGGACACTCTGACGTGTGGGAATTATCGTGTCTCCGCGCAGATCTTTCTCCACGGTAGCACTCATATCTTCGCGTGACACAGTCTTACACACACAGCACAATTCTATATAATACCGTGGGATCGTATATGGCAGCCCTATTCAACTGTCGACAATGGAGCGCAAACTCTACGAACATCACACCCACACCATCAAGTCTGTACTGAGCACCGTCATGTCAGGCTCTACAACCAATATATATCTGTGTCCTAAGATGATAAATATTAGCGTATCGTGTACACCTCAAAAAACATCTGTTCTAGCACTAGAGTCTTCCCATGTGCCACACAAGGGCGCGACACATCTGTGTGCTTGACGTGACACGATCAGTGGTCCCAAAGAAACGCGAGTGAACAATAGTCGAGATACAATGTGTGATAGAGGATCAGTGTGGTGTACATTATCGAGACGAAAAGGATCCAAGTACTATTCAAAATGCGGATTAGAGAAGAGGAGTTAAACGATGAGTGAGATTATAGTCACCTGATACTTATGACAGGGAGAGCATAAGTGTGGGAGATGCCTAGCTGCTTTGGCGTCAGACGGTTGCCAGGGGCATCGCTTCCACACATTGATGACAGGCCATGTGTATCTTATCGCCGAGAGCTATATAGCTCTGCCAAGTGTACCGGGGCGAGTACGCACCGACACTCAGCGTGCTGTACGACACACGTAGACACAAAGCGGGTTGGGGCAGTGGGAGGTGGGATGATCTAGAGCAGACAGGTGATTACACTCACACTAGAGACACTTTCAGCATACTATGTGTCGGGAGGTGGAATATGTGTGTGTAAAATATGAAGGGGTGGGTGTTAGAGAGGGGATAGGAATGTATTGATAGGGGAAGTGTGCCGGTGTGGCATAGTAGCAAATGAGCCATCACCTGTATACCATATGTTTTGTTCATTTTAGAGCTGCTTTTGAACATGTATTATGGGCCATGAACGCTCAGCCCAGTCCGTCATGCGGATCATTCTATTATGGCACTTTTTTATACGCCAGTCAGTTGGTGGTGATTTGCCTTGCATAGGTAACGTCTTTAATAATCTGGAAGCTGTAATCCGTCACCACAGGAGATCAGCCCAGTCGTGGCCAACTATGAAATAAGGAAGAAGATAGAAAAGGAGAATTATGTGAAAGAGGTACTATATCGTTAATGTAAAAAATAGGCAGGTATGTTTTGTACATCGGAGTAGAAATCGATCGAGCCGATCGTACGATAAATTGTGTAGCGTGACACCCGGAGGCAGATGACTGTACGAGTTGTCCATAGGCAAAAGTCGCATAGGGAATCATTAATTGCCATCCCTGAATTCAAGTATATGTTTCTGGACTGTTAACATCAGAAGAGAGGGGGAAATGATCAGCACTGGAGAACAAATGTAGCGAAAGGGATCGCAGAACAATATTACGAATTAATCAATTTGGGGGAAAATTACGAAAATAGTTCCTGACGTCACGCCAGTAAATAGTTTTGCTCTCGGTTTTAAACAGAAGCCAGTTGATATGAATTAAGTTTAAAGGGAGTAAAACTGCATGGAAGGTAGCGTTAAGGAATAGCATAAGAAGCGGTTTGTAGCAGGTCATCCTAGCAAATCAAGTTTTCCCTGGTGCAGTTGAGTTGATCTTCTCCGGTATCATACATGATCCGGCCCTTCTTCATACAGTTTTTCATCATCAAGTTGATTGTTTAAGATCCATTTCGCTCTGTCCGTTGACAGATAAGCCTTTATCATTTCCTTGAACATGCAGAAATGTTCAATACATCTAACAGTTAACAGTTGAAATGCCCGTTCAACCGTTTGGTTGATTGTGCAAAATGTGGGACGCTTTACATGCGGGTTCTTCCACCGTCCTTGTATTTTGATATGACCTTGGTTCCTTCTTATCTCAAGGTTACCAGTTCAGTTACCTTAATTCCATTGTCCTTTGCTTAGTCAGTCAATGACTTCTCTGGAAAGACCCATTTGGGATGACGTCGAGGTATAATGAACCTTTGAAAATCTGAACTTTAATAGGAAGAAGTGATTGAGGAGGTGATGCGAATGTCAAACGAGGAGTTGGTTAATCGCGGTCGACTCCTGGACGCAGAAATCAGAGTATGTTCATGGACTTGTTTCTTGATTTGACAGTTCATGAAATCCGAGCTGCACCATGTGGATCACGAGATCAAAGTTAAGCAAGCTAAAGTCAAGGAAAGTAAGAGCAAGATAAAGATGAACAAAGCATTGCCATATCTAGTTGCAAACGTCGTTGAGGTGTGTTCTCTGATAGCGCTCCTTATTCCTTTAGCTGCTGGACGTGACTCCGCAAGATTACGAAAAGGAAGACGGGGCCAACGTCGATCTCGATTCACAGCGGAAGGGAAAATGTGCAGTAATAAAGACCAGTACGCGACAGACCTATTTTCTGCCCGTCATCGGGCTAGTTCCTGCTGAAGACTTGAAACCCGGTGATCTCGTGGGAGTAAACAAGGATTCCTATCTAATATTGGAAAAGCTGCCTCCGGAGTTTGATTCGCGAGTGAAGGCCATGGAGGTTGATGAACGTCCCACGGAAAGATACAGTGACATTGGAGGTTTGGATAAACAGATTCAGGCAAGTTTTTAACTTTTTGTCATGATTTCTGCTCCTAGGAGCTTATTGAGGCAGTGGTCCTACCGATGACACACAAAGATCGTTTCGAGGCCATAGGCATCCAACCCCCAAAGGGCGTCTTACTCTACGGACCACCTGGGACAGGAAAAACTCTGTTGGCTCGCGCGTGTGCGGCACAAACAAAGTCCACTTTCCTTAAACTCGCGGGTCCGCAGTTAGTCCAGATGTTCATTGGCGATGGGGCCAAACTTGTACGTGATGCATTTCAATTGGCGAAGGAGAAGGAACCTTCAATTTTGTTCATCGATGAGTTGGATGCGATTGGTAAGTGCCAACGTTAACTCTGTGTATTCCCTTGCATTCCTTATTTGCTCCTATTTTTCCTTGAGTCGACTTACTGTGATGTGTCATTCATGCTACCATTCCACATATATGTCTGTGGTGATTTCACGGAATGTTTGGTCACCACCTTTCCGGACAACATGGTTGTTTCGCTTCATTAACCTTGACTCAGATGCCTCGGATAGCATCTTTAACTCTGATCAAAGTAAAGACTAGTCACGGTCCCTGCGTCACAGAGAATGAGCACATAATGGCAAGGCAGTTCCGTTATCCATCTATCTCACAACCGGGAGATGCACAGACGCGTAAAGCACAGCAGCCTGAACAGGAGCACCACCTCCCGTGACTACAATCCCCTCAAGGAAACGTGAGGTTCCTTCACTTTCGGTTACACTGATCGAAATCAGTAGACCGGGATGTGTCGATAAAAGTGCACGTGGCGTGAGTACATCCGGTCTGGGCGATTCTTAAACGGGAAGCATTGTAATTTTCAGACTGCCGCGCTTCCCATCAAGCACATGCTTGATGCTCTTGTCTGCTTTAAAGTTTGTGACCAAGCTTTTTCTACCAAAGATTCCTGGCATTGCTTTCAGGAAGCCCATCAGTCTGAGGAACGTACTATTTGCTAAACCAAATCTTCGACTTCGTCTGCTTGGAGTGGTCTCCACCACGGAGGATGAAATTGTGTTAGTGCGATTTGCTTCAAGCTCAAATGCAATAATGTGCCATCTGACCTTCCGTTAGCGTACAGGTTAGATCAAAGGACGCCATCAGCAACCTCAAAGCTCGGCGTGGAGCAGGCGAGAACGGTCCCTGATTAACGGGTTTTCAAGTAATCAGCTAGAGATCCATTTTCGCTCTGCCAGAACATATTGCACCATCCACTGCTGGTCTTGCTGGGGTCATTCAAATAGTGCTTAGCAGTATTCTAAGCCTGCAAAACGTGCGAAGTAGTTCTGCTTGTAGACAAATCTCCTCCAGGTACGCTTGCCTTCGCGGAAACGTGTTTGTGGAAATCACGGGCAGCGAATTCTATAGGCCCGACTTCGCACTGTTCCGCACTGACGGCTGGATTGACCATCAAGGGAATGGTGTGGTCCTTCATGTGAGCTACCATAGACGTATCGATGACTAGCGGTTTCCAGTCGCTGGACAAAACTGTTGGGGCTCTCAGTCGCTTTTACACTTCTTCGGTTCAGTTTACGATTGTGCTAGTGTGTAAAAGTCATATTAGTACCTCTAAGGTGATACTTGAGTTTATACAAGATGATTGCGATATAATGTCTAATCCTAGGCGACTTCAATCTCACAAAAGTTTGCTGGGCAAAGATATCTTGCAACTAAGCACCGGGATCGTTCGAGACGGGCCTGCTGGACTTGGCACTGCAGGCACCGTTGCATCACTAGGTACATTAGCAACCTGCACCCATCCGTTTTATCCCTTGTCTTCGCTAATTAACTCTCAATTCATCTGCATTTGCGGTGACACCTACATGGGCAGAATTGACCGTCCGTTGGCTCAGAGGGTGACTGAACACTTGCCAAATTAGGTGGTACAAACGATCACTTGACTTTATCAGTGACATTAATTACGGTGTGCCTCGACGCTGCCGACCACATTTGCTTGTCTTTTCAGTTTGCCTTTACCAGGCATCATCACGCTATTAGCGATTGTCATCCTAACATTTAGGCCGCGAATCTTCAAGTGATGCGAGATTGGACTTCGTCATCAATTTGTGTAATCTTTCAGACATACACTGTTTAAGGCTAACCTCGTCAATGTTTCTGCACCTCACATCCCACTGGTGAAGTGAGGGGATTAGAGAGTGCGGCCTACATTGGTAGATTTCATGAAAAACAGACAGCTAAAGAAGCGGTCTAGATACTGGCGAAAGTATCGAATAGCTCCGTAGACCAGCACGTGTGATATGCATCGTGTGCTTCGGAACCAGTGTAAACTATCTTTTAGGTTGACCAGGGTTCAGTAAGAGAAAGGCTTAGCTGACACCTTGACCAACCCCAAGAAGTTCGTCTCCGTTAAGCGACGTTGTGATACGAACTCGCTTTTCTAGCCTTTGACAGCGTGTCTTCGGTGGAGGCAGCCAATCGCCCGAGTAGCTTGTCCCGCTGCGTCAACTGCGGTGGCTTCGACACGTACAGCGCTTGCCCACTCATCGTCTTCAGCTTCGGGCGTTGTTCACGGTTGCTGTCCGTTTCATGAAATGCTGACGAAACAGTTGGCCTCGGTCGGTTGTTTTCGTTGGGATTTCAGAGCTAGTCGCTGGTTAGAGACTCTGGATGACATGGCTCCAGACCGTCGTCCATGGCAGACATATATTGCTGCGTTTTGCGGTGATTTCCCTTCCCTTTCTCAGTAAAACAAAAAATTAAAAAACAAACCCTCAACTTGTGAGTGAAATACTAAATAAAGTGCATGTTCTTTTTCACTATTCCTATCCTGTTTTCTTATTCTGCCATGATTCCTATGACACAACACTTGTACCACTGATTGTGATATATTTGTGTATTTATATACATGTAGGCAGAATCGTCGCAGCGTTTCTAGGTAGGCTGCGTTCGATTTACCAACCGCGTACATGCATGCTGAGTCTTTATTTCAAGTAGTGGGTTTGCTATATTGCCCTAATACTTTTTTATCTCATAATAATGTCTACCTGCCTTATCTTCTATAAACTTGCACATGTCCTTTAAACTTCTTTAGTTAACTTCGATAACCTTTTCGCGTTTGTGGCATTTTCTTAAAGTTTATTTTCTGACATATTGAACCTCTCGCGGATTTTTTGCAACCAGCTTATTTCATACGCTCATTTAGCGAAGGCTTATGTCACCGTATCCGTATGCACTATTCCGTTTATTTTAATTGATATCATCCTTTCAAGTGACTGGCTGTTACTTGACATCCCCGGCCTGGCTGCGCTTGATGTACTTGTTACCAAGGTGCCGACCTGGCTATTACCCACTACCTCGTCCATACTGGCTCCAGGAGACAGTTGGTCGTTGCTGCAGGGGACCGGGTGCACGGTCCTTGTGGCCGCGCTAAACTCAAAGTGTGGTTCCATGCACTCAGTGTAGAGCGGACTACGGTCCAGCCACCGCCTTGTGTGCGCTGGATACCCCAAATACAGCGTGCTTGTGTTTGCCTGTGAAGGGGTGTGAGCCGGCTCCGTTGATGAAACGTGGCTCCCGTCTGCATGCCTCCCGGTCTTTTTCCTTCGGGTTTACACTGGATATGGGGTGTGTGGATGGGGCTGTGGGTGGTGCAGCGCAAGCCATCCATGGTCGCTCTGTAGACGCAGGCATCCTGTGGCTGGCCACAGTGACAGGCAAATCCGAAACCGGATGCCGCCAACCATATATGGTGCGCCGAGGCCGGTGGTGGCTTGATCCTGACAGATGGTCTACCCGCTGCTGTTAACGTTGTGCCATGGGTTCATGTCCCGGACGCCTGCTCGTGGCGACCGCTAGTTGGGAGTTGGGTTACTCCCTTCTCCCTGCTAACATCCAGGACATCAATCCGCATGAGTCAGTGAACTGACCATGTGCTAGACCCGCTGCCTTTCGGGTGTACACTTAATCGAAGGCTTTGGGTGAGGACCCGAGTCGTTCTGTCAGGTGTGGGTGCACTGCCAGTATCCCAGTCGATCCTCTTTGGAGGTTAAGAAGTAATCGATGGCTCTCTTCTCGAAAAACCTAAGCTCACAGCTCGATTGGCGTAGAGCACGTGCGCCACGCATTGTCTCTGACGGTGAGAGGGCATCTGCGGTTACTCAAAGGTTTGCTATTGCCCGCCTGAAGCCAGGCAGTCCCTGGTCAAATTGGTGCAATCCCGCCAAAACCCTCCTGCGTCTGCCTGTGGTCGCACATGCGTCTCTTACTGCGGTCGCAAAACACAAATGAACCGTTTCAGTACCTCAAAGTCTTCGTGTGACGGACCTCAAACAGATCCCAATATGTTTCTGCAATTACATTCCCGAGCTGGATCTGCTCCCACTGCCTTGTGGGTCAGGTTATTGAGCCAATGACCGGGTGGTGTCCCTCAAGCAAACCCCCGAAACACAACCGCCAACTCGCGTGCGATTGCGCACCAATGCAATCGTATACCTGCGCGCAAAGCACTCAGCACCGGGTGCTGGAACGTGCGCACACTACTGGACCGGAACTACAGTGAGCGCCCCGAGCGACGCACTGCATTCGTCGCGATGGAACTGGCGCGCTACAACATCGAGATTGTGGCGATCAGTGAGACTCGGCTCACTGAGCAAGGTATGTTGCATGAGGCTCGTGCTGGCTATACGTTCTGCTGGGTGGGCAACTCCACGTCATCATCACATGGACATGGGGTCGGATTTGCACTATCCGATCGCCTAAACGGCCGGCTGGGGAGTGAACCAACAGGCATCGGCGCGCGACTGATGACTGCTCGCATACGACTCGGAGGTGGTATGTTTACCACTTTTATAAGCACGTACGTTCCGACCATGTGTTATCCTGATGGCACGCATGATCCATTTTACACTCAGTTATCCTTCGCGATACGGCCTGTGCCGAGGAACGACCGGCTATTTCTGCTGGGTGATTTCAACGCACGCGTTGAACGTGACACATCGGTGTGGACAGATGTTACCGGTCCGTGTTGTATCAAGAAAGCCGTAGGAAAGGTAAAAATTGTATCTCGCAAAATTAACCAAGTACAATGAGTCAATCCCTTGTTAAACGGCGAGTCAAGCGGCAGACACAACCAATAGTAAGGTAGGAATAAGTCAGCAAGCCAACCAATGAGATTGAGCCGATCGACGTTGCTCACATAGTTACCACATTATCGTTCCCCCCTCCGAAAAGCCGCCTCAACCTGGTTCGTAGCGATCAATAGGTTTCACCGTTCTCGCGGACCGACGCAGCTGACGTCCTGGTAATGGTAACTCAGCCGGGTCTTCATGCACAGATCGGTCGGGCTGATTAGC